ATCATCAAGATATTGCGGTATTCTTTTTATAATTGTTTTTTTTTTTAAAAGCATAATTATAAAGTTTTAACTTTAAATTGAAACTTATACGCTTAGCAAAGCCAAAATCCCTTTTTCAATATTTATCTTCTCGCCGCACATGTTGCCAACTCCTCCACTAACTTTATCAACCCAATCTTTAAATTTTTTATTAATATTACAAGCATTCACATACCTAGCTTCAAATTGGTTTCCAAATCTTGCTTTTGTCACAGGTCCAAACATCTCTTCCTCCAAATTCGCACATTGAAATACTTCAAGAAGTTCGATATTTCGGCATTCTGCAATGCTATGCCATGGATCACAGCCCTTAAAGTTTACTTTGTCGAATTTTATATAACGTAGCGTTGATGAATGTAGTTTAAGTGGTGGAATAAATACACGAGTATATGCCTTACAGGATGTCAGGGAGAACGACACTAAAGCGTTTTGAGAGGATATTAACGAAGTGATGGCTTCTCCAAGAGAGTAAACGCTTTCTTCGTCATGATGTCGAGCCCAAAGATCGCTTAGATGTAAATGTTCCTAAAAAAGCAACAGAAAATTAGGTTAGAATATAATAAATTATAATTGAAAGAAAAAAAAAAAAAAAAATACACATACAATTTTATGACATCTCTGCGTTAGCATCGAATACAACTTTATTTTTCTAACTCTTGCGCAAATATGTAATGAACGAATAGGAGAGACTAAATTTTTCAATCGATCATCAGTCAACAATATTTCGTACATTTCATCATGCGATTTATCTAACGTGTCAGGATTTAAATGTAGACCATATAATCTTGAACCATGTTTCTGACAAAGTTGTAATAATGTTTTCATTATAATTTCTTCGGCATTATTAACCAATGTTACTTTATTTTCTTCATCAATAAAATCATCACAATCAGGTTGTTGCTGTTGTTCCATTATATCAGCTAATTCGGCGCACCAAATTTCAACGGCACTTATCATTTGTTCATAATATAATATACGAAGAAAACCTAAGTAATTAAACATAGATTTTTTATTTACTACATCTAATTGCATTTGATTATTATAGTCAGACATTAACGAAATATCAATTCCTTGATTTAAAAGCGATTTTATATCATGATCTTCAAGACATTTTAAATACATTGAAATAACTGGTAAATAACTTTTTTTTTCGAATAAAAAAGGTTGACTCCAAAGAATTGGAATTGCTATTCGACACCATTGTCGATTTACCAAAATACAAGGATAAAGTGCTCGTAATCCTTCAATTGAATAAGTTCCAGATAATTCACAAGG